CTCTGACATGGAGGACTGACGTCCATGACCCATGCACTGGTAGCTCAAGATTGGATTATTACAATGAGCTTTTCATGTCTAGCTCTGGAAGACAGTTCAGAAATTGTAGCTGGCCCAGAATGCAACAGTGTATATGGTGAGTGACCATGCTTACTTGTTGCTTTCCAAGCCCAACTCAGTATTATCACTTTGCCATACAAAACCTTACATGATTTAGATACAGAAGATTTGCAGAACTCCTCACACTTATATTATTCTTCCCCCACATGGTTAGGTCTTCCACAGCACATCTTTTGAAGGTCCTGCTACATCAACATGGTGGGCCTTAATTGTATAACAATCTGCCCTTAGAACTGAGGTAGAACTCCTACTTATTACAGGTTATGAGGCATAACATTGATCTTTTAACTAAGGCCTTTGAGACTTGTAGAGATCTTTTTTAAGTTGTCTTTTAGTGAAAGACAAAAAAGAGTAAGCTGCCCAGAATCATTGAGTGAGCAGCATATATTGTATATTTGTTAAATAAATCACTGCCATGAGGTGTGGCCCACAGCCATCAAAATATTGCTCAGTAATGCTTTAATGCATGAGCAATGCTTGCATCCAGCATGTCGTTCATTCTATTCCATTTCCCCTCACCATCGGGTTTCCTGTTTCCCCTCCTGGCCTGCTTGTGAGATGCATCTGGTTAGATCTAGTCTTGCACAGAATGCTGGAATTCTGCCCTCAGCATCACTCAGAAAAGCTCTTCTTATGTTCTTGTAAGGACTGCTGAGGAGAAAGAAATGCTGATTTTTTAAATCTTTTCAGGAGTCTGTGGGTTCAGATCAGCACTGTAAACTAGACAAATAACTACTGGCATTTATATCATGAATGTTATTTATTATTATTATTAATTGCCTATGAGAAGATCTAAGAGTGTGCTCTGTAATTTTGAGAGTTTCCACTTTTTAATTCTCAGCTTCCATGGAAGACAAACTGGGGTTTACTGTCAATTAAGTATAGACTGGTATAAGACTGGTGTTCTGAGAAATTCATAGGAAATATATTCCATGTGACTTGGGAGGCTTACTTTATTTCTGAATAAATGTGCACTGTTTCACTGGAGCAAATCTCAGCCCACTTTCCCATCTACAAGCATGTGAGAATAACACTGATCTCCTTTTATCTTTAAAGGTTTAAAGGGAGAGCAAAAGTTATTTCTTTTCCATCCATCTCTGCAAAAACTCAATAGCGTATCACTTCCCCATTCCATTTTTGAACTATGACTTCTTTTTTTAAAATATTGCCTAACAATACTCTCTGTCTGCTTGGCCCATCCCCCCATCCTTTCAGTGATTTTGTTGGTTAAAAACTTTAGATGAATTCCAAGTTAGCTCTCTTTTTTGCAAGTGTCCAGTAGCTCCTAACCTAACCAAAGTTCAGAAAATAATGATTAATTTTAGACCACGACTCCCTTGACTCTTGAAACTGACAATGGCTTTCAGTAACCTCTCAGTCTCTGCTCCTGATGTTCATACCACTGCTTCTGTAGCCAAAACTTGGGGATGCCTCAAGATTTACAGATGTTCACTCAAAAATCCAACTCTCCTCTGGTGCTCTGCCCACCTCAAAGAGCTCAGTGAAGAGGGATTCAGAGGAACAAAATAATGATGACTGTTGGTGAGAAAACCAAGGATGAAGGAGAGAGGAAAGTCTCCTGGAAGATTCATGGCTAGTCATATGGAATTCCAAACCAGAATGTTCTACAATGCTGGCTGGGGAATTCTGGGAGTTGAAGTCCACCCATCTTAAAGTTGCCAAGGTTGAGAAACACTGAGCTAAAAGGTTGCCACAGACTTTCTAGCAGCCTTCCCTAAGTTGATGCTATCCAGAGACACTAGACTACAACAACTCCATCATCCTAGCCAGTCTGCTGACTGACCGATGGCGTGGTAACCCAGTACACCTGGACAGTATCATCTTAGTAGAGATACTAAGTAGCAGTAAGAGATACTGCTCTTCAGGCCTGAAAGAGAAGCAGAAAAGCAAGCAGAGTTATGAATGCAGCAGCTGGTTTATTGATATGCAAAACAAGAAGCTGAAAGCTCAGACTCTGTCATGGTGACCAGCAGAGAATTTGTCAGCACAGCTCAGATAGTTTGACCAAACCAAGCCAAGCCAAGTGAGTGCAAAGCACACAGCCCATTTCCTGAGCTTTCTAAAAATGCATTTTAAAGTGTGTGTGTGTGGGGGGGGAGCAGGCTTGCTTATCTTGACAGCCAGCAGCACCCCCCACCTTCCCTTTCCTGCCTATTTACTTGTGCACAAGTCTGCCAAGCAGATAAGCAGTGCAGCAACTTAAAAAGTTGTTCCATGCAAGAGGCAGCAGAATATTTTTTCTTAAAATATGCTCAGGGAAATAAAACCCTAAGCAATCATTAGAATTAAAAAGAAAACTGAAATTAAAATCTGTCTGCTGCTTTAAGCTAGCTTCTTTTATTCTGAAAATCCAAAGGAAAAGAGAGGTGAATTTCAATTCTGTGGGAATCAAGACTGAAACTGATATAAAACAAAAGCAGCCCCCCTATGTTAGATAACATGCTGCAAGATAACTGGGGTGACACTCCCTTGCAGAATTACTAGAGTAGCCTTTCCCAGTCCAGTGCCCTTCAGGTGTGTTGACCTATAATATTCATCAGTCACAGAAGAGGGTAGATGAGTATAAATTCCTTAAACTCATTGGGGACTTACTTCTGAGTAAACAGATAACAATAACCAATGATAACCAAGATCCTGTGGTACCTCAGAAACTAACATATATAAAGGTCCATGGCATCCTTGAATTATTGCCCTATGTTGGCAGTTACATATAATTTCCAAAATTATTCTCAAAATGGAACACGTGCAGTGCCTAATGAAGACAAATTGGAATCTACTTGCTGCCTTTTACATAAACAGAACTTCAATCAGCCCTTGCTTTGTTTACTGTCTTTGTGAAGCTTTAAGAAGAGTTCTGGAGGACTCTAAAGCCTGGATACTAGTCTTATTTCAACTGCATAATAAAAACTTGCTCTAATATGAATTTTGAGTTTTTCCTTATATTTTAAGGTTCTTCCTGGAGCAGCAAATGTGTTAGACTGGTATCACAAGGCAGCAATAACAACAGAAACCTTGGGGCATCTATAAGACTAATATTTACTATCACAGAGAACCCTTTGTAGATCAAAGTCTGTAAACTGTAAGCAGTGTTTTTCAACCTTGGAAACTTTAAGATGTGTGGACTTCAGCGCCCAGAACTCCCTAGCCAAAATCCTGGGAGTTGAAGTCCACCCATCTTAAAGTTGCCAAGGTTGAAAAATACGGCTGTACACTATATCTTTGAAGCAGGGGTGCAGGAGGTACAGCTTGTATTCAAATGCACCTCACCGCACTTCTGCAGCTCCCAGAGCCTTTAAAAGTGTGTGTTGTAGGGAGAGAGGTACAGCCTCACACGGCCTACGTCTGACCCCTTGCCATCTTGTCTGAAAAACGCTTTAAATTCTGGAGGGAAGGAATAGCCGAACACAGCCCAATCCTACTGGCCTTTAATTAGAAGGAAGGTCCGCCACATAATTCCACATGCACAGGAATCCAGTCCACGGCCAGCTTTTCCAAGGCATTTCTCCGCCTGAATGGACCTCTGCAAGGCTTTCTTTCTCTTTAAGCTGCCCGAGCTGGACTCGCTTAAACTCAGCCTTCCGATGGATTCCTGCATCCAGAGCGGCGGTGCCCGAACGACCAATTAATGGGACAACGCTGAGGATACACACTCACAGCTGTAGCGTAAAGGGGCACACCTACTGCCGGAATGTATCCCTTTGTCTAATATAACCTGCACAGGATTGCACCGCTACTTCGGAGTAAGTCTCGTTGAACCTGGCGGGACTTACTTCCGAAGTTTATATTATTATTGTCGTTGCTGTTATTTGCTTGCCAGTGAAATTGCAAAGGCACTGTCTGTTCGGTGCAGGCGAATTGTTTCTCGACGCTGCCGAGCGGTAACATTACGCGCGCCGACCGCTCACAAAGCCGCGCCTGCAGGGACCCCGCATCAGCAGAATCCAAGGACTGCGCCTCCCTCCCCGCTTTTCTCCCAATACCTCTTGGTAAGATGACGAGCTCTCTTGTCTAATCATGGCACCGGCGAAAAGAAGCGAGCAGGGAGGACCGGATCAAGCAGCGGCACCTTATCAAAATAAAGCGGAGCGCGGGGGCGAAAGTTGGGAAAACAGTCGCCGAGCAAGGAAGCGCCACTCCGCGCGCCGCGTTTCAGTCTTTACCAAGTGCACGGACATGATCTGCCCAACAGCGCAAGCGCACGTAACGCATCATCTCCACTAGGTGTCGCTAGTTTGTCTTCTTCGACCGCTCTGGCCATTTCTACTGTAATCTGGGGCTGACCGGTTGGGGACAGATGTCGGAGCGGAGGGGCTGCTGGGGGATGTAGTTTATTATCAAGCAGCGCTCTCTGGTGTTTTAGGAAGCTATATCCTTAACCGGATACTCTTCAGCCGGATTAGCCCGTTCAGAAATCGGGCTGAATGCACGAAGAGTGTAAGTGGGAGGTGGGGCTACTATATCGGAGCTGCAACAAACTGAATGACCGGTAGCCGTTAATACAACGTAACCACTACATTTAACACAATTTAAGTAATCTGTTAAATGGGATTTGTTTTTATTCATGTGCACGAGGTTGCAGATATATTCGGAAGCATGCTCCAATAAAGGGCCCAAACAGGATTTACTCCAAAGTAAATACGTGCAATTATTATTATAAAGAAAGTTCATTTAAGAGGCTACTTAGAGAAGTTTACCATTTTAAACACATCACTTACAAGAATTGTAGATAGCAGAAGTTATTAGGGCTCTCATACCCTAATAGTAACATACCAGGGCTGCAAACATCCAGATGAGCGCTACATGGCAGCAAAGAGAGTTTCATTTAGTACAATGTTTCTCAACCTCAGCAACTTTAAGGTGTGTGGACTTCAACTCCCAGAGTTCCCAGGAGTTGAAGTCCACACACCTTAAAGTTGCTGAGGTTGAGAAACACTGATTTAGCATGACACAGGTGGACTCTGGAGGGTATTCTCAGTTCTCTGATTTTAGTATCCATGCTTGCAGCAGTAGTAGCTGCTGCTTTATTATTACTTGTACACCTCACTGTACAAGTAATAATAAAATGACTCACTTTAAAAATGTTTAATCAGTTAAAGCCATTTACTACACAAAGATCTTCTGTGTACACAGGTGGATGGCTTCCAGACCAGCCAATCTGCTGCTTTATAGATAAAAGAAGATTTGAGCAAATACTGTACTATAAATGGTTGGACTTGGTCTGTAGTGGCATTTGAAGAATTAATGAGAGACAACAAACAAAATCACAGCACATAATACTTGAAGAAGGGCCAAATGTCTGTTGCACTGTTAGGGGAAAAAATGGGCATTTTAATATTATATTTCCAAAATCATAGGAGTGCTAATTGGCAGCAGTTTTCAGCCTTAAATCCTACTATTCGCTTTATCCATGTAGCCTGTTTCCAACATGGTAGACAAAACCCAAACTTTTTCCAAGAAGAAAATGTTTACAGTCATTTTTAAATATTGTTTTCATTTATAGTATGTTTTAATTGAACATTCAGTCTTATCCTGAGGTATGCAACCTTGAATCCAGAACCAAGGGCGGAAGGCACCATCTGAGTGTCCCTAGTCATTCATTCTAAGTCAGCAATTAGAATCTCTATCAATGAACCTAACTAGAAATTAGCGTTGCAAGTTAGAAATTGCTTTAATCAGTCAGATAATTAATCAAATATCGTTCTTTTCTGCCCTCCCGTCCCACTCCGCCAGTGAACAGGCAAAATCTTTTCCTTTCCTTTCATTTTCAATGCGTGAATGACCCTCACATCCGAGAGTTATCCACACCTCGTTCGAACGGAGCAAAAGGAAGTGGCAGGAAGGATTCTAGAGCAGTGTTTCTCAACCTTGGCCACTTTAAGATGTTCGGACTTCAACTCCCCAAATTCCCCAGCCAGTATGGCTGGCTAGGGAATTCTGGGAGTTGAAGTCCAGGCAACTTAAAGTGGGCCAGGGTTAGAAACACTGCTCTAGAATCCTTCCTGCCACTTCCTTTTGCTCCGTTCGAACGAGGTGTGGATAACTCTCGGATGTGAGGGTCATTCACGCATTGAAAATGAAAGGAAAGGAAAAGATTTTGCCTGTTCACTGGCGGAGTGGGACGGGAGGGCA